AAAAAGCCTCTCAATATGAATTCTAACACTAGCAACATTATAAGTGCTTAGAACTTCTTCCTCAGTAAATCTACCATTATGGAGCATGGGAGGAATTACAAGAATACTGTTTTGAYCATCAACACCTGTTTTTATTCCTGGGAACCCCTTATCCGCAAGGATCTGGTCACCAGGTTCAAGTTTATTCAAAAAACCAGAATCGTTTGTGATATAACTGTCACTGGATCTACCACCATACGATTTAGACAAAAAGCTAACCATTCCATTTGGAGTAATGGCAACAAGTACTTTAATAGTATATCCTCCTTTATATGATATATATGTGATATGATATATTTATATGATTTCTATCAAGATTTATTGTGATATTTATATAAACAATTTGACTAATGTAGTATTGTTTTTGTTAAAGAAATATCTTTGATGTAATAATTTACTAAATAAGTAACATTTTTAGAATATGTTTATTGTTTAATGTAACACTGTAGTATTTTAACATAATATGTTTAATGTAATACTATTGAATTGTAMAATGGCTTTACTTACTTTAGTAAAATTATATTCCATCCAATGTCAATCTGCCTCATGATTGGGCCCCTGACCCAATATTATAATAAATATTATTAAAAAAAGGTGGGCAAGTGAATGTCGCTCTGCTATATAATAGGTTACAAGTAAGTCACTGAAATGGATTGTGTTAAATTTGAATTCAATGATATAATATCATTGTACCTATAAGAAAACGATTCTGAGCGAAGACGGCCAGTTAGCCTACCTATGATATTATTAAGCATATTTGATGATATTGTTATGAATAAAGTAATTTATATATTATAACCTTTAAATTTAACCTTAAAATTTGCAATCTTTTGCTATAAAAGTTGAACATTTTTAACTACAAAACAATTTTAAATTTGAACTTAAAATTCTTATAAAAAAATTGTGCCCTACCTATGTATTTAACTAACTTTCAGTAAAAGATTATTTTTATAATATGTACTARGTATAAATTTTAAAACTGACTGTATGTAGATACCTCTAAGAGTAATTTGAATTTTTAGCTTTGAAGCTAAATTATATAATGCGAATACCTTAATAAATGGATATTTTTTACTGAAAAATGTTCAATTTATTTTAGTTGGGATTCCTATGACATAAATACTTTATTATTCAGTAAATTCAATTTAAAATACTTAC